ATTGGCCAAATACATAACAGAGGGAGTTCTGCATCTTCCTTCGCAATAGCCCCACAAAATATACAAGTATGAGGATGTATATTATAAACATATACAGTCGCTGTCATCTTATAAGGAATCACACTCGTTCACTGCGCTCACTCGTTCAATTTAGGATACGTTAACAGCTTACAATTGTGCAAAACCGCACGAGTACACTTTTCATGAAGTATTCTATATAAAACTCAATTATTGGTGTCCTTGCTATTAGTTGCTTCGCTCGTAGGAAATCGGGCTTTGATATCAATAAGAAAGACTTAACTATCCATTTTTCGTTCTCTTTTGTAGAACCATGAATGATGGTAAAATTGGTACCATGAAAGTTTTGGATTCACTTCAACGAGAGCGCTGCACTTTTCATCTGTTAGTAACTTTCTTTAATACAGTAATACAATATTCTAGTATGCGGTTGCATTGTCGTTGACCTTCATTTACTGAGTTACTTTAGCTTCATGCATCAACTCGATGTAAACTATACTGAAGCGAGATGAAGTTAAATTTTGCCGAACCCATTTTCTCAACTCGCACTGTGAGGTATCGGTAATCTGTATTTTTGTCCCTTTTCTGCCTCATTTTATAATACTGGTCATTCGCTTACCCGAGCTATTATAAATATCATCTGTCTTTATGTTGAAAGAGCATTGTAATACAAGTCGAACCTCTCGTAAGCAACCACCCAGAAATCGACAGAAAGCTAAGCTGTAGTGGTCGCTTCTGGAGGAGGTCGCTAACGAGAATCGAACCAAAAATGGTCTCTTCCGAAAAGAGGGGTGGACACATCTACTTTTTGCAAGGGAATTTTCTTGCAGGCAACTTCTAAGGTATGACGAGTGTTCTCCCATTTGATTCGAGGTCTTGTTATTCAGATCACAGGTATAATTTTAGACCAAATTGCACTTCACTCAGTTCCATTTATATTAACTTAGTAGGGAAACGAAAATCACGAAAAGAGTAACAGCTTTAAAAAAGCTCATCAAGGGATTTCGAAACGATGGCTTGCTTACTGATTGCACGATGCTAGCGAAATCTTAAAGAAAGTGAATGTTTGGAACTCTTTAGAAAGTACACGTCTTAACACCTGATGCAAATGTTTGGCCGTATTGATCCACAGAGATCCATGTAACGTTTCATAGAGTGGGAGATTTTCGCTTACGACAGCAGGTCGCCCATGATGGTTCGACTGTATTAAATTAGTTATCTTTGAACATATATTTGAGCCAATATATCAAATAGCTTCATTTAAAAACTCGTTAACTCATTTAGCAATTTAGCAGATTTTGATGACTGCTATTTCCTTGGATATGACGTAGATATTGCTTGCAAAAACCTGAAAATTCCACAGATTGCAGCCTAAGTTTAGCAACCTCGGCTTTAAACTTGTGAACTCAATCTAGATATGTCTTCTTTCTTTAGTTCATATAGTGAAAATTGCAGTTAGTGCAAACCACCAAATAATACAAAACACGTTCAATAAATACGATGTACTAATCTTTTGAACGACCTTAATGTTAATTTGTTACATTTCTTAAACGTTTTTTTAACTGAAACATTTATATCTTTCAATTTAGCGGCTTGGGCCAAGATAGCTCTAGTTACCTTGACATTGTGGATTACAATATACTCCAGTCATTTAAGCGAGCGGGTTTTGCGAATACAACTCTTGGTCGCTACAAGTTACTACCATGTTCACTTGGTACTTTTGTAAATGCAAGTCGTCTAGAATGCGTCGAATGTCCTGCGGGTAAAATACATATTGTGTTTCATGATTATTATTAAGACTTGTACTTGTCCTATGGGTGATGATTAATTCAAATCACAAGCAGCATTGTTAGCATTCGAGTGCGAATTACATTATTTTATTTCTACAGGGTGTCCCAGAAGTTACGGTTCCTCTGCTGTATAAGTCTGTAATCCGCTAGTGCTATTGGACTTGATAATATGAGTAAATCTTTTAAAGAAAATTCTGGATTATGTTTTTTTATCTAATTTAATATTTAATACTTGTTTTTCCATCTTTCGACTCGAATTTTCGATTTGTGTACTTTCGCGCCAATGGTAGGTGTGCGCTAGTATATTTCCATTCACAAATTTTTGTATCTTGTAGCCCAAATTGCTCGAACGCCTTCCTCTTTTTTTGTGAATATCATGAAAGATAACACAAAAACGCTCAGCTAGGTGAAAGCATAACCAGGTACACTTCGATCTACTGCTTTGTCAGATAAAGAAATTGCTAAAACCTGGAAACTGATCCGAATCCAAAAAAATTGGGGGTGGTAAAATGGTCATCGAGAAATGAAGGTTTTGAAGACAAGAAAAAAAGAGGAAAACGAAAGTCATGAATAAAGCAGCTAAAACTAATTTTTATGAAGGCTAGGTACAACAGAGGAACTCATCAAGGTAGTTCTTACAATAGTTATCAGCCTAAGTCTGGATGAAAATAAAGCGAAGGTTTTGTCCCTAAGTTTGCAAAAAACTAGCTCTCCCAGTCCGTCAAGCAACGTTAACGCTCAGCTCGTCTCAAATTTCTAAAGAAGCCTTAGGGTTTTTTTTACAGCTGCCTAATCTAAAAATGATATTTTGGGGGGTCGCAATGGCTCCTGTGTACCACTGACGTGATAAGAAAAGCTCAAAATGGATCATCTGGACCTCTACTGGCGCTACATCGCGTTTCCCACACCATGCCGCAACTTCTTAACGAAATGTTGTAAAAAAGAAACAAAGAAGGCATGCTGGTTACTGAACTTCTGAATACAAGTAATCGAGAGAGTAATAAACATCTTCTAAAAATTTCATGCAAAAATAAAGTGTTGATCAAAAGTTACAGCGCAAGAAATTAGAGGAACGAACTTTTGGGACACCCAGTGTTGTAATGCTACTAGAAAGCTATTTAGTTAATAGTTTTTTCTTTTCAAAATTTGTTGTGATACATTGTGAGCTGAGTTATCAGTTAAGGGCCTGTTTACATGAAGGTGAGGGACCCCAGAGAGATTATATTGTCAGGCGGGTTACCCCACCTAACCGGGTTACCTCACCTACCTGGGGTCCCCCACCTCCATGTAAACAGGCCCTGACGGTCTACTTGCCTTTGAATTGCCCGAGAACAATGTCAATAAGATTGCTGGAAATTAACTGGCCTTGTTCTTTCTTTCTGGCGTTTTCCTGACTTCAACAATAGAGAAGATAAGCATCACGTTTACGTCTAACGGCAAACGCGAATTTGTACCACGTGACCAAGTTTTCCAACAACAACATATCCTTTAATTAAACACAATAGGATTTAAAGCTCAAAGCTTGTGGGGTCGTGTAAAAGTAATTACAAATGAATATACAACTATATTAAAAATAGGGATAACATTACTTACAAAATACAACTACAACAAAACTCTAAAATTATACAGTAACATTCTAAAAAGATACAATGTTAAATGAATTTACATTACTTACCTCGAATGAAATTGACTACAGCATTTAAAACATAAAATAGTGAAAAACTTTTAAAATCTTGGTATTGCTTGGGCAGCGACTGGACCGACTGTGCGCTAAAATCAAGTTCCTTAAAATAATAGTCCTTCTTTACTTTGCGATGAAAAACAGTAAACTAGCCTGTAAAATGAGTCGAGACAGCTTTCCAAAGAATAGCGCCTCTATAGCTAATAGCCCTGTTTCGAATGAAAAAAATTACCGCTGAATACAAACATTAACGACACATTCAAGCAGGGTTAGTCTCGATATAAAGTAAACTGTTCAGGACTTCCGACAAGTAAGTGTTTGAAATTTGAATATACACAATAGACAGAGTAATAAACAGGTCTTTTTCTCACTGGAATTTGTGAATATATTACTTGAGATGGAGGCTAAGCCCGTAAAAAATGCGTCTTCACTTCTTTAATTCAGCGGTCATAGCAAACTCGAAACTGGCCTGTAGAGTTTTTAAGAAACTGCGAGTTAAAACGCGGGACGATTAAGTTATTACTCCTTCTGAAGTTGTACGCAGTGCAAGGCATATTTGTCAAGTATGACAGAGCCGCAGGTGCTACACCTATAAACACGCTATGGAGCAGTTAAATTAATTAATAATTTTCATTACTTGTAATTAATAATTTTAAAATAGAAGGTTAAAGTATTCCAATTCGAATGTCGGTATATTCATCAGTAGGCACATCGCGGGGCAAGTGGTATATTATTCTGGCTGCCTTACAGTCAAGTACTTTCAGGGAATGTAGATCGCGAAGGTCCCCATTAGGCCAGCCGTCCCAAACAACCAAGGCCATACAGGACTGATAGTAATGTTATCTTGAAGTACACTTCCAATAGGGCGTTTTGCTCAAGAACGAGCTCCTTTTCAGGAGGTTTGTTAACAAAATTATTTTTCACATCTGTAAGGTGAGGTGACCAGGAAATTTTTTCATCGATAGTAACACCCAAAAGATGAGTGTGTTTCTCTCACTCCGATCCTCTCCAATAGTCACAGAATTTAGCGGCCCGCTGTGCGGTTTTCTCATCAATAGTATAGCTTCGCACTTTGCCAAGTGAGGAGTTAAAGAGTTCTCTAGGCACCAACTATTCAGTTCCGATAAAGCTTTATTTAAAGAAGTGAGAGTGTTATCAACAGTGTCCCCAATGCAATAAACGGTGGTGTCATCCGCATACATAAAGACAGAGCCAGAGGTAACAGTACTTGGTAGGTCATTGGTGTACAAGGCGAACAACGTTGGGCCCAGTACTTCAACTTTAATTGTCGTTTACTTTTCATTATTTCAACACAAATTAGTAGTTTCATGCAATTTTTTATCCATAAGAATTGCTTTGAGCTGTTTTTATCTGCTCATTTTCTATTTTGAGAAATTCTCAACTTGAATCTGACGTTTGCCGTTTGCCGTATACGTGATGCTCAAACTCTCTTTTGTACCGATTCATAAAAACGCAAAAAACTGGTACTAACTTTACCAGTATCCAGCCAGCCACATTTATTGGACTCTTACTATGACCAGATGCTAGCTTTTTTTTCTTATGCCATGCAATAGTAAAGTCCGTCCACAGAAACCATTCATATTACAGGGAATTCTACGTTATTCGTAGGTCATGGAATTTAAAAAGGAACGTCGGACCAAAAACCAAGTATTTGTAACCTGGCAATTTTACCCCAAACTAACTACTTTTTGTCGGCTCTGTAGATCCATTTTGGTCATATTTTGGGACTGCAGAATTAAATTTATTTCAAGAACACTTTCACTCTGGTTACACTTTCTTATAGGAGGCTTCTATTCGGATACCATAGCGTTTGTCAATGACGGCTGCCTCAGATGTCCAAATGGAACTTTTGTTCCATACAGTAAGACGCCTGGCAAAAGCGCCCGTGAGTGCATTGCTTGTCCA